GAAGCTGAGTTAATATTTCCACTACAAAACCAAAAGAAGAAATTCAGAGTTTTGTCAATATCTCTGTGGATGTTTACCTCTTACTTATGCTTCTTCAGTTTATAGAAAGTCAAGCTTCAGAGAGCAGAGGCAGTGTGTCTCTGGGTCTCTTAATATATTAGACATATAGCTTCTTGCATTCAGCAGAGAATTACATTTCCTTGAATAAATAAACTTGCATCATTGTTGTTACCGCTATAGCACTTCTTTTTAAAAAATATATTTTTGTTGATTTCAGAAAGGAAGGGAGAGGGAGAGAGAGATAGAAACATGAATAATGAGAGAGAATCATTGATCAGCTGCCTCCTGCCCGCCCCACACTGGGGAGCGAGCCTGCAACCCAGGCACGTGCCCTGACTGGAAATCGAACTGTGACCTCCTGGTTCACAAGTCGATGCTCAATCACGGAGCCACACTGGCTGGGCTGTTCATTACATTTTCTGTTATACTCATTGGCCCCTTAATTTGTATTACACAGATTTGTATTGATCTCAGTGTCTTTTCTGTTTCTCCAATGAGATTGTAAATTCCTCAAGTGTGGGTTTTTACATGTTGTATCCCTAGACAGCCGTGGGCAAACTACGGCCCGAGGGCCGGATCCGGCCCGTTTGAAATGAAAAAAACTAAAAAAAAAAAAAAAGACTGTACCCTTTTATGTAATGATGTTTACTTTGAATTTATATTAGTTCACACAAACACTCCATCCATGCTTTTGTTCCGGCCTCCGGTCCAGTTTAAGAATCCATTGTGGCCCTCGAGTCAAAAAGTTTGCCCACCCCTGCCCTAGAACCTAACACATAAGGGATGCTTGGTTAAAAACGATTAGTGGCGATAAAATATATTCCAGGAGGTCAGCACCTTTTCCTGAAATTGCAGAGGGTACAGAGCTTAGGTCTTGACTGCTCTCTGATAAAGAAGGAATTGCTGCCGGGGTAGAAGTAGAGATATGAACTGTCCCTTCCCTGTAACTATGGTTCATAAATGCATTTTTGGAGACTCCAACTCAATAACAGAAATGCTTAATCCTGTCTATGCTTGGCTTTCCCTCTAGGGGCCAGAAAAAGCAAACAAATGTTAAGCTCTCCTTCCTAGTTGTTCAGTCTATGTACTGCTGATAAAAAGTATTTGCTCCTAGTATCTTTGGCCTTGAAAAGGGTCATTGCTTAAGTTTCCTCTTTCTAAAGCAGCGATTTTTAAACTTTTTGTTTTTCACAAGCACTCCCTGTGCAAATCACTTTAAAAAAATAGTTTTGAAAAGATACTCTGTTCCTTTGCACATTAAATGCTGTTCTTAAATATTGGCAAAAGATATAATTTCCAGCATAGAATAAATATTGACATTTTTAAAAAGTGTTCATCGCTCTTTCAAATATATCCAATGGAGTCCTAATATCATCAACCATATAGAAAATACATAAAGATATTTAAAAATTTACATCTTTATCTCTTTGATCTTATGTTTTCATTGCAATTTTTCCACAAGATTTTATTCTAGTATGATAAAACATAATACCTAGCTAGGACCCAAAAATCGAATTGTGAAAATACAGGGTCATATTCCTGCCATAATAATATTTTTAAAATATATTTTTATTGATTTCAGAGAGGAAGGGAGAGGGGAGAGATAGAAGCATCAATGATGAGATTGAATCATTGATTGACTGCCTCTTGAACACCCACTACTGGGGATTGAGCCCGCAATCCAGACATGTGCCTTTCACTGAAATTGAACCTGGGACCCTTCAGTCTGGAGGCCAACACTTTATCCACTGAGCCAAACCAGCTAGGGCTAATAATAATTTTTTAAAAGTATGTTTTAGCCTATACTATCACAGAAAGAACAAAAGTAAAGGTAGTAAAATGTTTTTTTAAATATATTTTATTGATTTTTTACAGAGAGGAAGAGAGAGAGTTAGAAACATCGTTGAGAGAGAAACATTGATCAGCTGCCTCCTGCACACTCCCCACTGGGGATGTGCCTGCAACCAAGGTACATGCCCTTGTCTGGAATCGAACCTGGGACCCTTGGGTCCGCAGGCTGACACTCTATCCATTGAGCCAAATTCGTTAGGGCAAAACTTTTTTTTTTTTAAGGTACTAAAACTTATTGTACAAACTGACTGCTCACTAAATTGAGAAAGTCCCCACTGATCACAAGGCCATCACTTTCTAACCACCACCACTAATACCACATGCCTTCTCCAGAGAAACTTAAAGTGTTGGGAATGGGGGCCTGAGTTGGAGGATGGGGGCCAGTTCCACTAGACCAGATGTTCATATTTGTGGAGTTTGTTGCCATAGGACTTACTATATATTTTTATACCCGAAGGTCATATTGATTACTGTCATACTTTTTTGCAACTAAAATTACAAAATATTGTTTAAAGGAAGAGGGTATGGGGGGATAAATGGTGATGGACTTGACTTGGGGTGGTGAACATACAATACAGTGTACAGATGATATATTGTAGAATTGTGCACCTGAAACCTGTATAATTTTGTTAACCAGTGTTGCCCCAATAAATTCAATAAAAAGGGGAAAAAGTCCTTTTTTAATGAGATTAATTTTTCTGATTAGTTTATGTGCCCTTGGATGATTTTGGCATTGCTAGAATGAAAGAGGGTTCAGTGTCAATTTTATTTATGTCTTTTATTTCTATCGATGTAGATGCTGAAAAAATAGCTCCTAAATAAAGAGATGGGAATGGAAGTAACTTTATCAAAATAGTTTTATTCAGTTCTTTAAATTCAATACTAAAAGTCACATTGTCTTTAGTCAGCTTTCAGTTGACAGTTAGCTTATTGTTTATTTTTGTTGAAAACAGAGAATTAGAAGCTGCCTGCCTTTTAGAAGACTTTGTTATTTAGAATTGTTCATTCTCAAATTTGGGCATTTAAACCCAATAGGCTTTACCAAGACTATCAAATGATTATTAATTGTACCTGTTAGTTTTTCACTTAGAAAAACTACTTGATCCAGTAAATTAATCCAGTTGGAAAATCCAACCTACTACCTTCAAAACACCTTTTCAAATATATTTGGATAGGATTAATGTTCTAAATATATTTTTATCATAGTAGATATTTCATTAAATATATAATTCATCAAAACCAGATTTAATCCACCATCTCAAATAACCAACCATCTCAAATAACCAACTTAGACTTTCTTTCTGTCAGAAAAAGTCTGACTTGAAAATTCAAATGCTGTGTTAATGAGTTTAAAAGAATATTATAAAAATCATTAAGACTATCACAGAACCCTCCTTGTAAAAATTTACTCAAAGCAATAAAAAAATCACAGAGAATACATATTTTTTTAAAAAAATAAAATAATTCAATATGTTACTTTTATCATTTAACTGATGTGGCAACTAAAATCTTAATTTACTTTCTGTTAATAGGTGATACTAATAAGTTCATGAGACTAATTAAGTGGAGATTTATTGTATTTAGAATAAATATGTCATGATAACATCATGAAAAGTATTGTCCGTAGGTTTTATTTAGTGCATCATGAAAATTCTGGTCGTCCTGAAAAATATTCCAAGTTACGTTTAAAATTATCGGCATCACTAAACTATTCTTGTTTTGACTGTCTAAAAGTACTTTTCAGTCAGTGAGTGTTGTAAAGATGAATATTTTAAATACACGGGAAATTACTTATGAGAAAAGCTGTTTGTAGCATTCTATATTTCTTTGCTGCTTTGCTGGTGGGGCTTCCATCAAGAGTGAGATATTCCTTCCCTGGCAGGAATCTGGAGGTGGGAGTGGCCCACTTGTTAAATAACAATCTTTACTTCCACTGTCCCCCACATTACCACATATCCCACTTTTGAAATCCTAACAATTCTCAAATACCCCATTTCTAAATCTCACTTAATAGAAATATAGAACAGGGAAGGCTAGGAAGCCCCAAGGAAGCAACTTGAGCCCCGTGTAAACTTGTGTGCCTCTGGTTTGTAGAAGGGGAGAAATATTGGCGATGTGGTGTTCTGTTGTTTCTCACATTGCTTAGTCTGAGGGAAGGGTATGTGTAAAAGGTGTGCATGTTACCTTGCTCAAGGGCCCCCTGGAAGGTTTTGAGGTTCCGTTGATAGGGTTAGATATACCCCCTATGAAGACCTCTGGTCCAGAGTGTTGAAAATTTCTGTATGTTTGTAAACTGTTTCCATCAGTGATTTGTGCTTTTCCTTTTTCTTTTTTTTTTTAGTTCACATTTGATAAAAGCTTTTATTCAGGACTTCCTTCATGGGCACTGGGAAAACTGGGTTAATCTTTTGTAGGGGGAGTGTAAAACAAACCAAACCTGCATTAATGTCAGAAAGCTTATCTGTCAACAAGCCAACACCAAGCCTCTTGAGTTCCCTTTATCTGATAATGTCAAGAAACCTGGGTTAGCATTCTTCCCACCTCAGTCTAGTGCTTATTCAGTCCCACGCCGTGTTGAAACTGCCCACATGCTAGGTATATATAATGTTAGGAAACAGTTCCCAGTGCAGACAGCTGAAACCCAATCGCTTGCTCTGCTGAGTGTCCCAGTGATTACAGGGCTCTCTGCGAGCTTGTGCCGAATGTATAAAGAACACAGTGACCACGGCTTCTTGTTCATTCTGTGTGTCTAGGGAGAAGAATGTGGGAACTTCAAACAATAACTTAATGATGGTTCAGGAAATTCAGGAAAGACAGGTAAAATATAAAAATAGGCCTTAAGTCATAAAATTTGCTTTAAGTCCTACATTCCTCATACAGGCAACTTCCTTCTGTTCTGCCAGTTAGTGTGTGGGGAGGAGAGAAGGAAGGAGAGCTTTTGAAAATTAGATGTAATAAAGTACCAATGTAACAATTTAAACCATTCTCATAGGTAATTTTTCCCCCCTCAACTATACAGATTAATGGGACGCAATAAGAATCTTACGTTGTTTTAGACACCACAGTTCTTTATTCTGGAGAAAGGTTATTAATCCACTCAAAGATCACTCTACTACAACATTTTTTATGGCCTTTCACAAACCAGAGTGAAGTCATTTATTCCAAGGCTCTATTTGACTGCCAGGTTTGGGGAGAAAATTTACTACTTCTGTTCAAGATAGAAGGGAATAGAATAAGGCGAGCATTAGGGATTTCTCAGGGCCGAGGGGAATCTGTAGAAAGAAGAGGAGGAACTTGGGGACTGTGTAACCAGAAGGGCTCATCCAGTGCATGTTCCCCTAAGCTTACGTCCTCGGTCCTCACCTTGATTTCTTGTCTTCTCTGACACATAGGATACTCTCACCTCCTTGCTAATGGTTCCTAAACTCTATTGCCCAGACCTCTATTTTGAGTTCCAGAACTGCTTTTCTACCAGCTTACTGGATATGCTATGAGTGTGTCCAGCATTTAGAGTTGATACATTAAGAAACAAACACGTGGCTATCCCTTCCCTTCTCCCTCCTCCCAACCTGTACTTCTGTCACCTGCTCATCACTCACATTCAAAATCTGGGGCAAAGGTGCCAGTTAGCTGTTCTTTATGCTTATGGGGATGCTTCACTTTCCCCCTGCAGGCTGCTGTAGCTTTCTGCCCTTGGAGGAAGCCTCGATGTATTGCCCTTTGCATCCGGAATGAAAAGTTTGCTCATGAAGCTGGAGGAAAACCTTATGCTTTCAGAAGGTGACATCTGAGCCTGCTTGAATCAGCCTGTCCCCCTGTTTCTTCCAAAGGTAGGGTCATGTATCTGCCTGGTACATGTCATCTCTGCAAGGCTCTGGACTAGTGCAGCCTCTGGAGAGAGAGGCCTGCCCCTGCCCCCTTGCAGTCTATGTTTCATGTCTTTTGTCGGTATAGGTGGGGTTGATTCTACTCTGAGGTCCAAGTTCATCTCTAGGTTTCTAGCCTTTGAACCACGTTTCAGTGAGGAGAGGCTGCATAATTATGGTTTATTTAGAATTTAGTTTTCGACTTCCCCACTTGTCATTGATGCAAACCATTTCTGATATCCTGTAGAACTCTTGTGTCTCCTAGAACCCCTCCTTTAAGACCAGAAGAAGGTTTTCTTGTGTGGGCTGTCAGATATGTAGCTGGCATGCTGGGAAATTTGTATACTGTGCCTTCCCCTAACGGCCCTATTTCAGGCCCAGCTTGTGTGGTTCTTTTGTGACTCAGTTATGACTATTCTGAGAGCTGTGGCTGGCTCCATCACCTCTCTTGATAAGTATTCTCAGACCCTACTGTGTAGGGCCACTTCTAAATCAGCACACTGGACTTCCTTGAAGTTCAGGAATATCTTGTGGAAAATGGGGACAGCCAAGAGAAATCTTTTCCTCAGCCATGGCAAGGGGATGAGATGCAGATAGGCCTAGACTTACATTCTGTTGGAAACTTTCAAATAGCTACGTCTAGGAAATCATTCTGTACTTGATAACCAATAAGAGAAGGTTAGACACTCATTTTTTTTTTTTTTAGTTCAGATCAATATAATTATATTGATTATATTCAGCCAACAAATACTATTTTATTCTAATTGAGAAAATGAGGCAGACACTCAGCTATGAGGCATACACAGGGAATGATAACCAGCTATATAAAGTAACTAGTTAACTAAGCAACTCACTGTAAGTTTAAAAAAGAGCTCAAGTGCAGCCTGGTGTTTAACAGCATAAGGTTTTGGGTCACATCTGGGTTTTGATCTTGGTTCTGACACTTAATGGTGGTGTGGCTTAGGTCGGTTACTTAACCTTTCTGACTCCCAGTTTTTCCCATGAAGCATTCTTCGTAGGCTTGTTGTGGGAATTAAATGAGGTAATATCTGAATCATGCCTAATGAAGTATGGCTGATTTAGCTAGAGTATTGTAGAGTAAAACACAAGTAAAACATCTTCCAGATTCATCAGGGTGTCGTACTAGCATGGCACACTGGATGCAGGGCTCCCTAAATTTTCCATGATTAAGGGTGCTCCCAGAACCTGGAATAGTATTGAGATTGTTGGCAAAAGCATAACGGCTTTGACTATGGGACTAAGGGGATGTGAGGGACAGAAGGGCTGCCAGGGGCCAAATTAGCAGGCATGTCCTACATCAGTTCAGTAGGACAGTTCACGCCAACCCTCATGTAGGTTTAGGTACCGAAGTGCCAACTCCCCATCATCAAGTGGAGGCGATGGAGAAGTAAAACAAATACAATCCACTATGTGGTCAAGGTACACAGAGGGTATTATAGGGGCAGAAGCGACGATTAGGGGACTGAGGAGTCAGAGAAGGCTTTCTCTCAGTGGAGACACAAGTTCAGTCTTAAAGAACAAGCCAGTAGACATTACAAGGGGTGATAGTTTAGATATCAGCCTGTGTGAGAAATAAAAACATGGGAACATAAAACACAACTTGATTCTCTACGATTGCATTTTCCCAGCAGAGTTCTATTTTTCCTCATTCTGCAGCCCTAGGTTCTAACCTGCTCTTGACTCACACTGGCCCACACCGCTGTATCGTCTGCTTGGCTAGCACTCAGCCAGATTTCACCTGGTAAGCACGGTTCTTGAAATCTTGTCTAAAAGTGCTGAACATGAAGCCTTTAAGAACAGTGATGTTAGATCCAGCTCTAGCCGGCTTCTCAGATTTCCACTAGACTGGTTCTTCTGCAAGTGCTCGGTGGGGTAGGGAGTTCCCCATCCCACTCACCTATATTTGCACTGAAATGAATTGTGCATTCCAGCTCTATAGTAATAGCCTCCACAAATAGACAGCTTAAAAGGCAGTCTCTCATGAGTCCTTAGGAGAAAGATTAATGGGTACCTAAGACTTGGGTTTCATTGGCTCTCAAATCTCATTTATCATCAGAATCTCTGGAGGAATTTTTAGTGCAGAGTCCCAGCTCCTAGTGCTATAGATTCTAAGGTGGAACCTGGGTCTGTATGTAAAAATAAAAACAAAAATCTCTCACTAGGGACTCTAATAATCAGCCAGATCTGGAAACCCTGGACGAGAAGACGGCCACTGTGCCATCTGTCCACAGACCATCGCTGGGGGAATCTGACCCACCAGGTTCTTTTTCCCATGAATCTTTACTGAAAGCCACTAGTCATCCTGGGCAGAGGTGAAGAGCGTACCCTCTGAGTGACAGCAGCATTTCTCCCTGTGGACAGAGGCAGTGAAAACCAGTTAGCGAGAGAGACAAAGAGAGCACACATGGGAAGCGTCAGAGATGAAACACGCGGAGGTGTCCTGGCAGCTCTCCAGGCCTCAGTTCCTTCCTGAGGCCTGGCCACACTCCTGTCGTCGCTTCCATGAGATGCTCCTTTATCCTTATAATAAATTCCTCTCTGTGGCTGCAGCCGCCACAAGTTGGCTTCTGTTACCTGCAATTAAAGAGCCCAACAACTACGCGTCTCACTAAAATAGCTTCTCTAAAGAACAATCGAGGCATACACTTTCCACTCAGGCTGGGGTGAAATATCACCTTTCTTCCCACACAGGCCTGGAAATGGGCTCCGGGGAGGAAAAAACAAAACACTCTTACTATCTGGCAGTTTATTCAGTGGTGAACTCGGTTCAAGGAGTGCCCCTTTCTGCAAAAAGAGAAAGACACTCGATTGGTGGGAAGAAAGGAGAATGGGACAGCTATGAGAAATTTTGCTGCGATGGGGGTAACACATGGGCCAGCAGGACCCAGACGGGCCTCTCTCAGGGAAGAGGAACCACAGCCGACTTGGACTTCGTGGTACAGACGATTCTGAGGCCCAGCCAACCTGCCACACTGGCCCTCGTCTAACCCCTCTGCCTCCCCTTCGGAGTCAGCCTGAGGCCGGCCAGGGTCTCTGAAGGGGCCGAGACTTTGGACTCATTGGGGTGGAACAGTCAACACTGCCCACGAAACGAATAGAGAGCACAGCCACGCTCAGGTGGGAACAAAGGCAGCCGCTCTTTCCCAGAGGGAGCGTCCTTGCCCCGCCTGGACGCCCTCGGGATCCTGCCCCACCTGGCACTTCAATACCTTCTGCTTTCCAACAGGAAACACGTTCAAGCCTCCAGCCGCCACCACACACCTCGAAGCCAAACGGACATTCGCCAACCAGGGGACTGGGCATTTAGAGCAACGTCCTTCGGTGGGTCCGTGAACTCGGCGGCTTACTCCACGGATAAGCCTGAGGCCACGGAGGCCACTTGGGCCGAGCAGCCCTGGGTCCTGTGGCTGCCGAGTGGCCCTGAACCTGGCCAGCCGATGCCTGCCACCAGAAGAGAGATCAGAAATGGGCGACAGGAGTGCCGAGGCAGAAAGAGCCGCTCCAAACTGTAAAATCGGGTCCGCGATGTCATTATGCCCCGTACTAGTGATCTTCAGATGACCCCCCAGAGCCCCTCCGGGTTCTGCAGAGCACCCCGGGAAGGAGAGAGGGGTCTGAGTGTCGCCCCGCCACGGGCTCCCGACAGAGCAGCTCCACCTTGATCTGTTTATGCACTGGCTCCTTGCCATTTTGTTGGCAGGATGGATTCATAACTCATCACGCTCACAGCCCCCAGCGAGCGTGCATGCAGGCACACGCACCAAGCGCGGGGCTTGGTGTCTCAGACGCCTCGGCTTGATTCCTTCTAACAGCCCCACGGGGCAAATTCTGTCTCTATCCCCAGGGTCCCGCTGAGGAAACAAAAGTCAAGTATCCTGTGAAGATGACAAAGCTAGTCCATGGGAGAGCCAGGGGTTGAATGCGGCTCCCTCGCCCCTGGCGCCCTGGCTGATGTCCTCCGGGAGGGACCAAGGGAAAACCCTCCGACCAAGGACAAGGAAAAGCCAGCCATGCCCTGGAGCCATGGTTCCCAACCTTGCCAGAACCCCGACTCACCACCGGAGGCTGTAAAGATCGCAGACACCAGGCTCTTGCCTCGGGAGACACTGACATAATGGATCTTGGAAGCAGCCTGGGCGCAGGGATTAGTTTTTTAAAGACCGAGAACCCCCCTGCCTTAGAGAAACAGTGATAGGAATTCAATAATTAAAATTACATGTCAACACTGACTGGAGGGTGTCAAAGGTAGGAATTTCCCTCGCGGCAAAGTGCTTAGCTGATGGAATAAGAAGTGTCCTGTGAGAAAGAGCAAGAAACACAGCCAAAGCCTTCCTCTGGCTCTGCCGCCCGGTGGAGAGACTCTCCTCCTTCCTCACGGCTCCGCCAGGCACTGGAGTGCACGTGGCGGTTGCTTATTTGGTGCGGCTGACATGGCACACTAACACAGTGGGTGAGTTATGGGGTGAGGCCACAACATTAGTAACAAAGAAACAGAATTTCCAGAGGATGAGGCCCAGAAATCAGAATTTTAAAAAGATTCCCAGGTGATTCTAATGTGCAGCCAAGGTTGAGAAACCACTGAACTAACATAAAGAGAGACAGGGAGGAACATGGGGAAACAGGGAACCAGGGCCTACTGTCTGCAATTCTGTCTTTTATATACTCAGTCCTGGACTGGGATAGGGTAAGGCGAGGGAGGCCTCGGGTACAAAATTTAAGGGGACTCAAATAAGACCCCTCTGTCATCAAGATAAATAATGTTTTAGTGCCATATTAAAAAAATCAATGCAAAAAACATCCACAATGAACAGAATGTCAGTAATTTAAACAGTCAGGATCCGACAGGACTGAGGCCAGGTGAGGGGGTGGGGTGAGTGGTGCAGATGTGGGGAGGATCTCCCATCTTTATTTAAAATAAATATTTTTACATTAACTTTGATTTTTTCAAAATATTATATTAAATCATTCTTTATATTTTTCTTTTAAAATATTTTTATTGATTTCAGAGAGGAAGGAGAGGGTTAGAGAGATACAAACATCAATGATGAGGGAGAACCATTGATTGGCTGCCTCCTGCACACCCCACAATGGGGATCTAGATCACAACCAGGGCATGTGCCCTGACCGGGAATTGAACCATGACCTTCTGGTTCATAGATTGACACTCAACCACTGAGCCACACTGGCTGGGCAAGCATTGTTTTTCTTAAATTGTGTGCCCCACTGTGAGTTCCAGTAAACATTCCCACACGGGGAATAAACGTGGGCTAATTCAGATCCTCCTGAATTGAGAGAGTGGGATATCACAAAAGCATCAGAAGACTGGCCTCCCAGAGGACGGGAGGGATTGCCTGCATCAAAGTGAACACTTGCACAAATAGCCTCGTAGTTCAGGGCCAGCAGGTTAGGGGAGAGGGAGAGTGGGCAGCCGTGCAGGAGAGGTATGCTGAACACAGGTTGTCAGCTCACGTCACTGAGAGCAGCCTGAAGTCCCCGTCTCTGCGGAAGCATTAGGCTGGGCTGAGCTTGGATCTGAGCACACAGCTCCTGTTACATAGGATTCAGACTGTTACCTTGGCAAGTTAACCTGTTTCACCTTTACTTCCCCTATCTGTAAAATAGACCTAATAATGTATCCCTATAGCGATGGTTTAAGGATAGATGAGGATAGACACACACACACACACACACACACTAGAGGCCTGATGCACAAAATTTATGCAAGGGCCTTGGCCTTGGCCCTGCCTGCCACCTCTGCCGTGGCCCCTGCTCTCTGCAGCTTTGTCTGGAAGGAAGGACGTCTGGAAGGATGTCCAGTCTAATTAGCATATTATGCTTTTATTATTATAGATATATGTGTATATATATGCATATTTATGTATATATGTATATGTATATATATATTCCCCCCAAATAGATACGCATCTTAACAGCTGATAGCTTAATTTTGAAAATGAAATGTATTTCAATAAATACTATCTTCATAATTATTCAAAGTGTTGTATACATTTTTGGAGGACATCCTATATATATCACTTTGCAAACTTTTTTGTACATTCTAAGTGCTAAAAACATGGCATTTGTTGTAATATGACTATTTCATTTTCTAAGTTTATTCTAGAAGCTCTACCTTCTTATCTCAGTCCACTTTCAGAATATTTCACCACTCCCTGATACCTCCCCAGCGGGTAGGCCAAATCGGCCAGTTTTTTGGTTTATTAATACATCTGGCAAGTTGTCACTAAAATGGGTCAGGATTAGAGAAGAAATGGAGAAGCTGAGATTCTGGTCGTAGGTTTCGGACTTGCTGGCTGGTGTTAGGTACATCCCTTCACATCTCTGGGCCGCTTTATTTCTTCCTTATGAAATGCGGAAGATAGTATCTGTCCTGTTGTTCTCCTGTTGTGGGGATCAAAGCGATATGGTGCAAAAGTGACCCCCAGCTGCACACTCAGGTGGAAATAAACTTTGTCAGGGTGTACTTCTTTAAGTGAGCTCAGTTCACCTGGGTCTGATACGGGGCTCCAATAAGCCTTGGAAGTCGATCCTTTATTTGGGACTTTAAAACGATAGCAGAAGGGATGAACTGAGAGTAACAAAACTTGGACTATGGAATGAACGACGTATTATTTGCTAAATTCTTAATTTAAGTAGAGAGAATAACATGACTTCTCGTAGTAACTACACTACTTTCCCACAGGGCATTGGGGTTGCTTCTAAGACCGACTGCCTCTTCATCCTGACTGCAGCTGCTTCTTTCGTTGTCCTGAGTTTGTATATTTTGGTCTTCTTGAGTATCCCAGGTAATTACGCATTCTCCACAGGGATGTGTTTGAATAATCACGTCTTTTTCACACACGGCTTCCTGAGAATGTTGAGTCTTTTCTACTGTAATTGCTTACAATTCAAGCTTGAAATGCAGTCATTTTCCAGCCATCATTAGGGAGTGAGCACGGTGTAACGATCGAGAGCATGGCTCTGAGGCCATGTGGTGCTGCCAAGTAAGTGGCCTTCTGTTAAATGGGGCGCAATAGCCCTGATCTCAGAGGGTGGTAGTGAGAATGGAAGAATTAATGTTTATAAAGTTACTTAATATAGTGTCTAGCAAGTAGTAACCACTCAATAGATGCAAACTATTATTGTATTGCTCCTATTTAAGTTCGCTGTTACGCCGACCTGTGCAATTCCGACATAGAGGTTTGTTCTATGGGGTAATTTCTGTGAATACTAACTACTGCTCCCTATTAAATTTCCTGGCAATGTCTTTATCTCTCTATTTCTTGCTTTTTTCCTCTTGTCACAGAGTCAATGGGAATGGTTGCATAGACCAGTTGTAGGAAGTCATTCCATCTTGGTTCGTAATATTAAACATACGCCCACTGGTTGTAGCTCCTGACAATTCTATCATGCTGCAGTCCTCTGTCATTCTGGGTGGTCTATAATAGCACTTTGTAAATTATGAAGGATAAAGTTCTAGTAAAATAGTTGACATTTGATTGGTATCATAAACAATCAGTTATTTGTGTAGTTTATGGAAGCTAACTCATTTTTGTAAAAGTGCAATTAGTATCCATATCTAAAAACAGCTCTCAGTTGCCCTGGCTGGGTAGCTCAGGTGGTTATAATATTGTTCCCATACACCAAGGTTATGGGTTTAATCCCCGGTTAGGGTACATATAAGAATCAATGAATGAATGCATAAATAAGTGAAACAACAAATCTCTCTCTCTCTCTCTCTCTCTCTCTCTCTCTCTCTCAAATCAATACATAAAAAATTAAAAATAAAACAGTTCTAAGTGATAGAGAGATGGAGGCTGTAAAATCCTGCTACCACAACAGGGACATTTTGGGCTAGCTGATGACAGGATGGTCAAGTTAGAAGTGTGACATCATAATTGATATGATTTGCACAAGTACATATTTGAGGATTATGATTATTCATTGAAACAGAATATTAAAACAAAAATCTAATAAAGAAAGGGTTGTGATATAAAATAGTTCATTAATATTGCTGTGCTAATTTATTTTAAAATGATTTTTTTAATTTAAAAGGAATACATGGTAATACCAATTTGAGATAGATAAATACATATGTATGTATTTTAAAAAGTCACTTATTATACCATTACCCAAAGATGGTTAGCATCCAATTTTTGTTTTGAGTTGGAAACAAGCATATGCCATTTGAGAAATGACATACCGTTTTATCATATATTCTCTGGTCATCATAGCAGCCCTGAGGTGGGAAGTCTATGTTCTCAATGGAAACAGCCTCTGAAAGCCTGGCACTTTGTCAAGTTCACAGAGTTGGTAAGTGGAAGAACCAGAATTTGCACTGGAGTCTTTAACTTCAAAGTGAGCATTCTCATCAAACACAGGAAAGTAGATATTGTGTGTTTCTTTTATTTGAAGTTCTAGAAGAGAGAAAACTAATCTATGGAAATAGAAATTAGATCAGTGGCTGCCTGGGTGGTGGAGGCAGGGAGGGGTTGGGGAATGACTAGGAAGGGACATGAGGAATTTCTGGAGGAGTGGAAATATTCTATATCTTGAGTTGGGTGTTGTTTACACAGATGTCGGCATCTGTCAGAACTCTTTGAACTATACACTTAAGACCTGTACATAACACTGTACATAAATTATACCTCAGTTTTAGAAATCACTTTTTACATTGAATGATGGGATATTAAATTTGGAAAATGGACAATGCTGTAATGTGTTAATAATGCAAATATATCTTTACATTTTAAAAATATAAGCTATTTTAAGTATCTAAGTAGCCTTTTCCCCTTTCCTTGTGTATTAATGTCCTGTTGCTACTCTAACAAATTACCACACACTTAGTAGCTTAAAACAGCACAAATTTATTATCTTTAAAATCGGTCTCACTGGCTAACGTCAAAGTGTTGGCAGGGCTGTGTTTCGTCTGGAGGCTCTAGGGGAGAGTCCATTTCCTTGGTTCGGAAAGATGAACTAAAAATGATGGTTCAATGAGAAGACTCCAAATGACCCATAAACATGGGTGTACTCAGCCACCTTAGTAATTCAAAAAAATGAAATAAACAGATAATGTCTATCAGTAGCAAGAGTTGTGATTTAGCCATATAATGGCATACTATACAGATATGAAAAAAATGAACAGAAAAGATAAACAATAAGGGATTGTATATATACTCAAATGTAATATTGTGTGGAATTAGCCAGTCACAAAAGAATACACATTGAGTGCAATTCTAGTTATGTGAAGTTAAAAGAAAAAAAACTAAACTTATAGTCTTGAGGAATAGGAATATACAGAGAAACAAAGCAGTCAGAATAATAAGGAAGGAATGGTGGAGAAAGGGGATGCATGGTTTTTGGGAAGAAGACAAAAAGGACTTTGGGGATGCTGGAAATTCTTGTTTATTGACCTGGGTAGTGATTATATGGGTATTTATCTTGAGGTCATCATTGTGCGGTGTGTTTTTGTATGTGTACTCTACTTCCCAATTAAAAAGTTAGAAAAAATGCCACCAAGGTGGGTCAAGACAGGAAGGAAAATCAGAACTTATTAGAAGGCATCCAAGAACCTACTAGGTGATATTGGAACAATGAAGCACCGAATTTAACTTATGGTTCGCAGGGGCCAGTGCAAAAAGGGACACACGCTATATAGTTCATATTGTCTGATAAAAATCAGCACACGTATGCCCGGAGAGACAGATATTTCTCTGGCTCTAAATTGTGGGCAGAATATTATGCTCATTACATAAGAAGTAAGAACAATGTATTCTGTCGTGGATTTTCTGAAGACCACAAAATATTTCTTAAATGCCATTTCTTGTCTGAATTCTTGATAAAAGCTTAGAGCACTGCATTAAATCATAGTTCAGTGAAGGCATTTCTGAGGGAATCTTAAGTTGACACCATCCTGTGGCTTTCACAGTAGGAGCTCTTAAGGAATTCCAGCTGTTCCTTGAATGCAACCTCTGTATGTATCCTCAACTATGCTCCCAGCAGTGTCCCAGGCTGACTCACTCTATGGAGGGTTTCTTTGGTTCTCTCCCATGGCACTATTGGCTCTCTTCCTTGACCTCTACTTGGCCTTGACCACAACTCATCTCTTATTGCTGAGCATGCCTGACTCCCCTGTTTGGGGTTGGGGCTACTAAGTATTCCTAAGAGTGGCTGGCTCTACATTATGTAATGAATGTAAATTGGTGCAATATTTTCTTTTGCCTCTCCTGCTTCTCAAAGAGTATGAACATAAGCCCAAACCTTGAATATTTCTAACTGAAGTCTTAGGTAGGAAGACTCTTTTCCTTGTAGTCCCAAAGCTATTGCTACAGTTTCGTGGAAGAAGCTGATTGGCTAAGAGAGAAGAAAGGTAACATACAAAAAAGAAACAATATTTGCGAAAATAGGAGCTGAGAGAGATGAGGACAGACACTAAGAGACTAAGTGATAAAGACCTAATGATATCGAGTCACAGTTTCTATGTCTGGAGTCCCAGAGTTTCTTGTTTCCTGCCTTTCTGATCGTGGATGAACAGAGATCTCTTTTATTCCGTGAGCTACACTATATATATATCTATACACACACACACACACACCAGAGGCCTGGTGCATGAAATTCATGCATGGGTAGGGTCCTTAGGCCAGTGGGCAATCAGGGCTGATTGGGGTCTTCCATCTGCCAGCTGGGGTCTTCCTATGTTCCATGCTGCCCCCTGGTGGCCAGTGAGCATCATAGTGAGCAATCGAGCTGCTGGTCTCTTGGTCGAACTCCTGAGGTGACAATTTGCAGATTAGGCTTTTATATATATACTAGAGGCCTGATGCACGAAAATCATGCAAGAGTAGGTCTTCCTACCCCCAGCTGCCAGCACCAGCTTCCCTCTGGCACCTGGGACCTAGACTTCCCTCTCAGCCCTGGTTTCATCCAGAAGTATATCCAGTATAATTAGCATATTACACTTTTATTTTATACTAGTGGCCCGGTACACAACATTTGTGCATGGGTCAGACGGGTGCCCCTCAGCTCGGCCTGCACCCTATCCAATCTGGGATACCTGGAGAGAAATCCGACTGCCAGTATAGGCCAGATCCCATCCGAATTGCCACTCTGCTGGCCTGGTCACCAACTAATTGTCCAGAAGGATCTTGGACTTCCGGAAGATGTCTGGTCGACCAGGTCTAATTAACATATTACCCTTTTATTAGTATAAATTTTCTAAAAAAATAAATCTCCTTTAAACAAATCTGAGTCAGGTTTCTATCTCTTGATACTGGAAGAATCTGAATGAACACCACTAGTTTGAGAAGAGTCAACTCCTGTGCTTAATCTAATTGATCTAACTCTCCCAGAGCCCTCAGTCTCCTGGGGTCCTTGCCATGCTCTCCCACTAACACCAGCTGTGTTCTGGCCCAAGTAGCACATACCAGCATTATCGATTATTAATTGAGAAGCACACTAAGTGCACACATATTGAGGTGCATGCTTTGCACAAAGAGCTGTGTCAAGCGTGTATTAGCTTCAGAATCGTAAAAACCTGGGTCATGGTTGTCAAGGAAGTTAAACTTGGTAACTTCAGGCTACATTTCAGAAAACTGAAGTAAAGGGATTTTACCCAGAAAACATTTCAGAGCTGTGATATAATAAAAAATATATTTGGTCTTTGTCCCAGGTTCCTGGCACAGAACTTCAAAAACCCTTGGAATTTTCTGAGTGATATGAGTATCTTTTGTTCTTCATAACGAGCTCCTTTCTGGCTCAATCTGAGTGTAGAGTAATGAGGTGACTCGTGGTGAACCCTTAG